TTTCAGTGTACACTGCTCCAAGTGTCAAGTGTGTTCCATGCAGCTGATAAAGAATAAAGAAGAGAAATATATAGAAGTAGGATATTCTTTAACTGTTAGTAACACACTCTGCCCCAGATGTTGGCAAGTTATTTGACATAAATTTAAGTATCACAAACACCATGTGGTACAGTAAAGGGCCAATTGTGTAAAATATGAAGAGGGGTCACTTCTGCTTTAAATTTGTGTCTTAATTCTGGATATACTTCAGTATTTGCATATTTTAGTACCATGAGTGTTCCGCATTCAGGTGAAAGCCTATTGGCAACATTGATGAGGAGGTAATATTACACCTTCACTTAGTGACAAGTGCAGCACAACAATTTCTTCTCACTTCTCACAATATGGAATGATGTCAGATGATGTATCAGTGGGGAGGAAGAAAAGCTGCATCTCCTTACATGAGGAATCACATTTAAGTAAACATTTATATCTCAACAATACAAATATTAGTAAAACCTATATACAAGACTTCAAAGATTAGAAACCTTGCTACTACAGGAAACTGGCAAAATTCCGAGGTTTTAATTATGAAATAATTTTATATAAAGATTTGGGAATTTAAGTGATTGTTCTTTGCTATTTCTTTGGCCTATAAAAGGTGCAGCTTAATTTTTATCAGACTTATACTCTCAACAGAGGTATTTTTATAAACGTTCAGCAGCCAAGTGTCACATTTATAGTAAAAAACCAAGAATTTCCCATTTTGGGGAGACTATAAAATTCAAAAAATAAAAATGCAGCAATTAAATCAATGAACAATGAAATGCCCTAAATGCTAGCCTATTCTTAATTAATCTAAGCCACTCGTAAACAAAGATGTCAAAACCTTTGCACTTTGAGTATTCCACTTAATACAGAAATCCATTTCATTGTGTCTCAGGAAGAAAGAAGATAATAAAGAAGCTTTGCGCAACATAACCTTACTTTCTTGCTAATAGCAAGTAAGCTTTCTGTTCTAACTGGTGTCCTAATTTTTAATGACTGAATTTCTCAGAGCTTAGATTTCCAAGAAAAGTAGAAATGTACCAACTTTGGGCAGTAGTTTGCTATTGAAAATGATGGTGTTCATTAACTACTCTGAATTCACAGCACGATTTCCTACTAGCAATGTTTAATCGTATTTTATATAAATAAGTTGTATAAAGTCATTTTAGATATATAAAATATGTTATATAGTCTTTTATATAACTTTGATCTGTACTATAAATGTTTCATAACTATGTCTTCTTGCAATAGTTATTTTGTTCCTTTACATGTTCTTTTTATACATAGACCACTATTCTGAACACTGTCCAAGCAGGGTTAAACAGGATACTGCAAATCTGACAAGAATACCAGTATAAAACTCATCCATTTCCATTGTCTCAAGCTCACCCAGCATTACAGCCTCGTTCACCACTCTTGTGAGTTGCCAAATAATTGTTATTTGTGGTTGTAAGGAACCTCATCTCATTGGCATGAGTTGTCGTGGACCTGCTAAACCTCCTTCAAATTCAAGCTCTTTGCATCTATCAGTGCATTAAAAGTTAAAGTTGGGGAGAAAGGGGCTGAATCCTCACCTTCTCTTAATCTAAGTATTTATGAGGATATATTTACAAACCTTTAAATAGAAAGTAATCCTATGCCCTGCAACATTTTAGATGTTTCACCATTTTTATACTTTGCATGCTTGCTAACATTTTATGTTAATCTGAGCCCATCTTACATTATCGATTTTCTATTTGCAGTGATGACCTCAAATTTTAATCAGTTACTACATTAAGAATGACATATTGGCATATAGTACTGTTGAAAAAATAGATTATTTTCTGCTGCTTTTATAGATCTCTCTTAATCATTCTTCACTGAATTCTTAAAAGATGCAGAGATTATTTTCAGTTGCTCAGGAACTGCATATTATTCTAAAATAATCACTCTGCACTGCTTACAGTTATACACTCCCAAGTTTTGCTGCTTGCTGGTAGGCCTGCTCATGACTTACTGATGAGTCTTCAAAACATTTTTTTTCCCCATCCAAACATAATCTGAGGGCTGTGTTAGTGCATCAGCTGCTCTGGCTGCACAGCCCCAACAGAAGCATCATGAAAGACAGTGGTAGTGCTTTAACTTTTTAGTCTGTTGCCAATTTAATGTACCCTTAGGAGACTGGTAAATTAATCCACCTAAAGATTTGGCTGCCCACTGGATTTACTAGAGGTGTGTGTATTTATTTATTTTCTGTCTGACACTAGTAAACTGAACCAGAAAACCTCAGGGAATTCTTCTCTTTTCAAAACATGGAAACGACAAAGATACTGAAGAAGCCTTATGGATGATCCTTTAATAAACCAGAAGTCTCTAAAGGAGAGCTCTGTCTTTAGCTTTTGAGTTTCCAGCCAGTTTAAGTTAATACAGGTACTCCTAAAACCTATTTTCACAATCTTGCTTTCTGTGTTTTATTTTTTCTGCATAGTAATGCTAAAGAGTCTCACAGTATAAAGCAAGAACAGGAGTCCAGCAGAGGTGTTTTAGCACTCCTATTCTTCCCTGCTTTCATAGATGGATCAAAACCTTTTACATATACAGACTTTAACACCACCAAGTTCATTTTACCCAGCAGGCAGAATGCAACCACGGGCATATTATTGTTGAAGACACCATTTGCCAGTGTCGGTCGGTCATCAGTTTTCTAGGATTTCATTTCTCCCTCTTCCCTCCAAAATGCTACCGAATTGTAATAAACTGATAAAAATCTATGCCCCCAAACTGCCTGACAATCTAAATAAGGCAAGAGGCAGCACAGTTTCTATGTTCCAACTGTTGGCCTTGAGTTGACAAATATCAACTCAAGCACAGTGCTTCGGCTGTCAGGGCTCTAAATAAGGCAAGAGGCGGCACGGTTTCTATGTTCCAACTGTCGGCCTTGAGTTGACAAACATCAACTTGAGCGGAATGCTCAAGTTTCTGTATTCATCAATAAGGGGGTTTCTCCACAGTTTGACTGAAGAGCAGGACAAAGGGAAGGGAGACTGAGTGGAGCCATGAGCCGAGAAGGACAAAA